TATTTATTTATTTATTTATTTATTAGCCTTTTATCCCGCCCTTCTAGACAATGTCTACTCAGGGCGGGTCATAATAATGAGATTCATAATATTCATAATAATGAGATTCATAAAATTCATGATAATGAGAAATCCTCATCAGTTTGCCTGATGCTAATAGAACAGGCCTGAATGTGGCTGGAGAAGAGCACAGCAGCAGATCTCTGGCAGCATCTCAAGCTATGCTGAATCACATCCATTAAGAAAGAAGAGAGATGGAAATGGCAGACTTTTCAGCCTCATGGATGTTATAGTTGCAATTCACCTTCCAGCAAAAGCACTGGAGAGGAAATCAAGCTGTTCCAATACTAAGCTGACATAGCTGATGGGTCGAGATCAATTCATTCCCACCCCAGAACACCCTGTGTTCTGGGGTGGGACATTTGATTATTTATTTGATTATTTATTTATTTGAAATACTTTTCAATTGCTGTTCTTCCCATGCCTCTTAAAGTAAAATGGAATAAAATATACTGAATACATTATTTTAAAACAGAGTAAAACCACTTTAAAGGACAACTTTAAAAACAATTTTAAAAATCAAAAGCTGTAGAAAATAATACTATTTTGGCTGCTTTTTGAAAGCTCAGCAAAGATGGAGCTAACCTGACTCATTGTGGTGGCACAGGCAACAAGGGCTCTGCTGAAATTAAATAAGAGCTTCTACATTGGCAGAGAGCCTCTCTTGAATTGGCAACATTGGCTTGATCCACCAGGCAACATCATAGGTTTAGGATTGCTAGAAAATCATGAGATTAGTTACATTGGTTGCAACATCCATGCAGTTGATTCAGGACCTTTAACTATAAAGCTGGAACATAATATAATATTCCAGATTCAAGAAAAACAATACAAATGTTTTATTTCTTTGCTGTGAGAAAAGTTAGTGGATGATAGATGAATTGGGAATAGGTTGAATTTGTTTTATGTTCTTTTCCCAAGGGTATATTGTGTTCAGTGGGCCACGAAGGGCTAATGGTATCCAAGGACTGCGATTTATCATCCAGTCAGAAAAACCTCCACACTATTTAGAGAGCAGGGTTGAAGCTTTCTTAAAAACCATGGAGAAGTGTGTAGAAGAGATGTCGGAAGAAGCCTTTCAGAAGCACATTCAAGCTTTAGCAATCCGTCGCCTTGACAAACCAAAGAAGTTGTCTGCTGAGTGTGCAAAATACTGGGGAGAAATAATTTCACAGCAGTATAACTTTGACAGAGGTAAGAGAAAGCTGAAACTACCCATCTCAAACTGGAGATGTTAAATTTCAGAATAAAACATTTAAAAGTAGCAATTCAGCTACTTCATATTCAGACTAATCTTGTCAAAGTTTCAACATTAATGTTGCTCAAGGCTATTGAGTAAAATTTATATCCTTCCTCTCTCCTAAAACCTTGGACTCTGGCCAAATCAGGACAAGATTGAAGAACAAATGCAAATAAGAATATGTCTCCCCACCCATTTGACTCTTCCCTTGTGTTTGAGGCAAAACCAAAGTAGATGCTTAGAACCTGTTGTTTGACTAGTTGTGAAATAAAGGGTTGAGCAATCCAGAAACGCCAGTGTTTCATAAGTAAAACTTCACATTTTTAACAGAGTTAGTAAGAACTGGGAATATTGCATGTACACAGGTTCCAGGAAATGCACCAATCCTTCACAGTAGCAGTATTCTTTGTGGCAAATATATGCTGATATGTTGGAGATTTTAGAGCAGCACATATATGCTGATGAATTGCATAGTAACACTAATTTATAAATATTGTTGTTCAGATAACATTGAAGTGGCATATCTGAAAACTCTAACAAAAGAAGACATAATGCACTTTTATAAGGTAAGTTGATCAATATATCTTTGATTGATAAAGAATTTGAGATTTTATGGAAGCATTGAAGCTGTTATAACAGTAACAGTTTAGATTATCTAAATTCAGATACATCAGAAGTTAAAATACCGGCTTTGCATAGTGGCATGGTCACCCACATGTTTATGGAAACCTGGATATATTCTTACATTCTTCTTTTATTCCAGATTCTTTTGGCCAGAATAAAAATATTGTTCTCTGCCCATTCCATAGTCACTCAGTACAACACTCAAAATTAAATATCCTGTCCTTCAGCCAGGTCAAGGCAGTGACCCTGAAGATGTCTCTGTAACCTTGCTTACCTTCATTTTATCTTGCTGTCAGCTTTCTATGTAGCACTAATGGATGATTTTTCAAAATTAGTCATATTGTCAGTGGTTACCCTACAGTTGTTGATCCCCTGATTATGCCAAAGGATGGAGGCAAATGCCGGTGAAACAGCCACTGTTTTCTCAGAAGGGCAGGGGAAAAGACCTGATATGGAAAGTATGGAAATGGCATATAAAAAGTGTATGTACCCCCAGTGTCTCTGGAAACACTCTCAGATTTGCTCCCCTCAAGTGGGGCTATGCTGTGATTACTTGTGGGCAGAAAGGATATGTCTCCTCATCCCAGTTTGTCTCTGCATCTCAAGTGTTATGGTGTGAGGTGACATGTCCCCATCTTGGCCTGCATGGTTTTTTTTGTCAGAAATTGTGCAAGCCAGGATAGGGACATGTCACCTCACACCCTAATACTTAGACACAGACACAGCAGAGAGAATTCAGTGACACCTTCTTCTAAAGCAAGGAGAAAAATGGCACCCACAGACACAGCAGAGGGAATTCAGTGACACCTTCTTCTAAAGCAAGCATGGACACACGGATCACTGGTTTCAATCCACACTAGAAAACATTTCACCTCTTCCCAACCTGCAGTGGAACAAAACATACAACCAGGTAGTAGCATACAGCCAGTGCAGTCAGTGGATCACATCCAAGCACAGCGGTTTGTATTCTGGTTCAGATTCATAACACAAGTTTTATTTGCAGACAAACAGGAACAAATCTGCACATGATCCTAAGAGTACTCGTTGAAATATCCCAGGTGGAAAACACTGTCCACATGTCTCACATCCTGATATTAATTGGTAAGATCTAGGGCAACAAATGATGTTCTGTGAAGAAATGAGAAATGGGTCCTTCTGTGTCAGTGCTCTGTCAATTACAGCCCCAAGCTAGAAGTCACACTGGAGTATACACCCTGTTTCCAGTGACCGATGAGTCTCAGACAGTGGGCTCTAGTCCATTTTCTCTGTTGTTAAAACAGTAAGAAACAAGTATCTACAATTTCTTTACCTCCTTTGTAGCTGAAGACTTCAAGCCTTCCAGTAGTCCTTTGTGCTTCTAGAAGTCCTTCAGTCTTGACTCCAGTTTTGTAGTAACAATTGCAGGTTTGATTAGTTAGCTTTGACTCTTCTGACTTACTTTTATCTATTACAGCATCATCAGGTGTGCCTCTGTTATCCCATCTTTCTCACTGACTCAGTGAGTGCTTCTTCTTCGGCATACATACCTTTGGTCATAACCACTGCTATTTACCTTCCTTTGATTTTGATGTCTTGCATCATCTATGGAACACTTCACTATTTCAATCTCTAAAAGCTCAAAAGACTATTCAGTTGTTCATGAAACATATGACAATGTCTGCCTTTAGAGATAACACAGAAACTTTTTTTGGATCTTTATAAGCATATGGCTGCAATGCCCAAGCCTATTCTTCTTCAGAGGATAATTCTGACTTCTTTTCTTTGCCTTCTCCAACATCACTTGATCATGTGATACCCCTAACTTCTCTGGATGGTGCCAAGTGGTGTGTGATTCACATTCTTTGTATAGCAAAATTCTATGAGGTTGAAATAATGGCTACTCCCCCACCAATATTGAAGCTATTGTTTCACTGGGTTCAGGAACAGGCATCAGTGCCAATAAAGATATCAGTCTTACTGTTTCTCGCACACTTAGCTTAACCATCATTCTGAACCATCATTCATACTGCATACTTTTCAGATGATATAAAACCTGTACTGGACTCAAGAGGAAGGTGGTAGTTTCACAACTAAACCAAGTGCAGCAAGGTGTCTGCCCTCCACACTTTTTTTTTCTGGTCCCTGTCTCATTCCTCTTAGACTCCATCTCAGTCCTGTACATCCCAAGAACTATGAGCATCCAGCTTCCAGTAAATGGTCTTCCCACAAATCACAACAATTGTGACACCTTTTGTCTGACACATCAGCCTATCTCCTCCTCTGCATTTGTCACCCCTTCAGTCAGTAAAAAGCAGGTGATACAAAGTTCCGTTTCTCACCTGGATCCTTTCCATCACTTGTTTGTCCTGTGCAATAGAATTCCACAGGAAGGAAGGTTTTGTTCTCACTCCTCCAAATATCTTTGAGAAGAGTTTGCCTTGTTTCTGGAGAAAGATGTTACCAGCACCACATGGCTTCAAAAGTCAGTCCTCTCATTTCTCTGAAATGTTCCTCTGTTAGATGTTTGTCGTGCTGATACATAGTCCCAGCTGTCTATATTCATCCTTTGTTCAAGCACATTTTTGGTTTGGCATTCTCTGTCTTCCGATAAATAAGACCACAATTGACCCATATAGGTGAATCGCAGAGATACTGAAGAAGAAGTGCAGGTTGCTTTTCTATAACTAGTTCTTTGAGAGGTAGATGGTGAACTCATAAAAGCCCACCTCCACCCCTTTGATAGCTCACTGTCTTTATTGTTTTGGTGGCAGAATCAGAACGGAATGTCTTCAGTATGCTTAGGCATGTAAAGTAGAGGGATGGGGATTGGGTTCCCACCAGTCAGTCAAGAGTACTACTCAGGTTACTCAGCAGTGAAATGTTCAGGGTATGGCTCTGCACAGGCAAAAGACCCATGAGTGCATTCACAAACAATGACTCAAACAGTTACAAGTAAGCAACAGACTTGTCATCATTGCATATTAAGAACAGGTTAATTATTGACATACGTGTCTTGTATTTAAATTACCTGGTTATATTGTAAAACACTCTGATTTTTACACCCTTCTCAGCTTATTCAGTTTATGATGCTGGAGACTGTTTTCCATGAACTGTTTTAAATTAGGAGTGTATATTGCATCCAGGGCAGCATTAATAGAAATTGACTGGAAATTACATCATGGGTTTCAGCAGATTTGTCATTATATATTAAAAACATGTTAATTATTTATGGAAATTTGTTTTAGTTAAACTATGGCATTACAGTTGTTGAGCACGCTGCTTTATCTCCTTTCCAGCTACTGAAGCATCTAATAAGCTATGCTTAAATGACATACTTGTGCCATACATTTTAATGTTGCTTTTACTAAATTTTTAATCTTTTAAAAATAATAAGTGGATTTTGATCCATAGAAGTACATCCTGCAATATATTTATTCATCTTTAAAGTGCCACAATACTTTTGTACTTTGTTTTTTCCCTCTATTCCCCCCCCCTTTTAAAATCCTTTAATTTTGCCAGTATTTCAGTAGAGTTTTCATCTTTGCTGAATCTGATTTCTGCCTCTATCCTTATTTAGCTTCACACAGAAAGAACTTCAGTAAAATTTGCAGCATTCTTAACCAGGATGTAACTGCTGTGTAGCTGGAACAAAGTTGAAGTGCTTTCCTATCCCAGAGAAATTGTTCACCTAGCAAGAGAATAGCTACCTCCAGATGGTTTTTACCTGACAGCATACCCATGGTAGCCTGAGGGGTCTGCACATCAAAGTATCTTCCGTTCCTGTTAGCAAAAATGATTTCTTGGTGTTTCTGTTCTATTTAGTAATTGATGCAGGTTGCTTGGATCAGACACATTTGCTCCAGTATGCCAGACAGATTCATGTTGTGAACTCTGCGGGGAAAATTCTTATATCTCTCTGTCATTCTTTTGCTATCCTTTTTTTCCTTCTCCAGGAGATGTTGGCAATAGATGCTCCAAGAAGGCACAAAGTATCTGTACACGTATTAGCAAGAGAGATGGATTCCTGTAAGTACTGAGCGCATTTGTTTACTTCACCACAGTCTCTGTTCAAGTCAGCACTGTGAAGCCGCTTGTAGTGCAAACCAAAGACTTTCTACAATAACAAGTTCTGGAAGAATTTTTATGACCTGTAGTGGATGGGTAGAAATATACTCACATGATAGTTAATGTGAGAAAAGTTCAAGAGTTCCAGATTTCCAGGCAATAAAAAGAGCAGCTCTGTTCTTGGCATCGGTCAGTTCAGAATGTGTGCATGTACTGAAGTATTTTAACAGAGACTTGAATGATTTTTTTTTTGGTTTTTGTTATTAAATAGGCCCTGTTGTGGGAGAATTTCCATCCCAAAATGATGTAAATCTGGCACCGGCACCAGCATTACCACAGGTAAAAAGGAAACCTTTGCTTCCTCTTCCTGGGCAAGGTTGTATAGAATTGCATCCTGAGGACCACAGTTGCTTCTAAGAGGCAAATGTTGCCATATAAGGGCATTACAAGGACACACTCCTCTCCTCTGGACTCTCTCCGGTGCTTCTCCCCTGTCACTCTCCCTGTGCTCTCCTCCCTCTCCTCCTCTATCCTCATGGCTCACTCTGAGAGTTCCTTAAGAGAGAGTGTTGCGAAAGCATAGCTGCGAAGATTCCCCATGCTTGTGGTGACTTAGGTGACCTTGGTGAGACTCCACCCACACGCTTCATGCTGAGGATATATGCCACAACAGCAAGAAAGTGCTTTGCAGAGTTTCAGAAAGCCCAGCAGTCTCCACCTCCGCACCTTCTCAATGACACTCTATGAAGGGTCTTCATAGTGAGGCATTGAAGGCAAGCTGGAGATTAAAGTAAATGGCAAAGAGTCACCTAAACATCCCACATGTATCTGGGTGAAGTAAGTGAAACCTCTGTATCTGTGTCTGTAGATACAAATGCAGCTCCTATTGGTAATTTATGGATCTCAGCAATACACAAGTGGTGCACTCTATCAGCCAAACTGTATAAGTCACTGCCAAAGAACACTGTGGCTTTGACATCTCATAATAGGGCCTTAGCTATGCTTGGGACTCTTTACCAGTATCTGAATGGACTTCAGATACTGGTAAGCAGGCTTTTAGATACTGATGCAGTGGATGACTACAATTCAGATGTTATACACAGATTATAGTATAAACACTATTTTTTGCTGTCACTGAATGGTTGTCTTTTTGATCTGGAATCTGTTGTGGCCTTTGTTCTGTGTTAATCCCAAAGTCCTCATATTTGTATGTGTTGATGGCTGACTTCTCTGTAGAGAAATGCTAGACTTCTGGCCTGACTGTGAAGCCCTGCTCCCTTTCAGATATATGGGATCTTGGTGATAGTGATTTATAAGTGAGAGAAATCTGCATATAGTTGAATGTATTCTTTCAACAAATTTCAGAGCTAATGTCTGACAGTAAATGCAAGATCCCAAGGTTAGTCCTGTCTCAAGTTAAACATAATCTCATCATACCCCTTTGCATACCAGTTGGATATAATTTAATATGGTAGCTTTATTTTGTAGGCTAACTTTTCTTTAGTGACTTATTATTATTTTCCTAATGAAGAACCGTTGTCATGTTCTGCTGGATATATAACTCTATAAAGTAACTATTTTAAAATCAGTCTTAATCTAACTCAGAAACCTTGTCTTGAAAGTATTGTGTAGCAAGATTTGGAGAGGAGGCCAAGTTTTTTATTGTCCATGTTTAGGACTCTTGTTACCCTTCAAACGGTGATTTTGTGTTCAGTTCACCATACCATATGATAAATTCTCAAAGTCTCTCTCTAAAATGCTTCTTTGCAGCCAGATGTGATTCAGAATATGACAGAGTTCAAGCGCAGTCTACCACTCTTTCCTTTGGTGAAACCTCATATCAATTTCATGGCTGCAAAACTGTGAAGACTTGCTGGATAAAGAACTGGAAGTGGATCAGTCTTATGTAACTTCAGGGTTTTGTTTTGTTTTCATAATGAACAGGCATCTTAAATTGTTATTAGGACAAGCAAACCTGTCTACTATGAGGGTCCCTGATTCCTTCTAGGTTAATTCAGCATAAATGGTGTGATAGGGATACAGCAAATTATGCAAATAGGCTGTAGTCATACGTCATGTTTATTGTAGAGCCACTCTTGGAAACCAAAATCAAGTGGTATATTCAAAGGTCTGTGTAGGTATGGTATATTACACAATAGCGTGGACATTTAAGGGTTTTGTTTGCATAATGGAATATGAAGGTGCTTTCTGAAAAACTGGTTTTACTTTAAAAGCTGTTGCTTTCCTTATGGTCATTAAGACTAAACATTTTGGGAGTTTATTTAATTGGGTGTGGAAGACGAAAACGTTATTACATTATATTTTAAAGAAGGCGCATGGAATGATAACCATTTTAAAAAATGATCCTGAGATGCAACCAACTGTTTAGGTTCAATATAAAATCTGTGCAAATGAGAAAAAAATGTCAACGAATGTCTTCACAGAAGAATTGCTAGATATAGCGACAACATTTTAATCTTTGTACACATTTGAGGACATTTTATATTCAGACTAGAAAAATGCTGGAAACACTTGGGTAGCCATCTCCCCCCCCCCATTCCTAACCCTTGCATTTTCTCAGGGTTATTCTGCTAATGTTTCCTTTAATTTGTATAAATAAAATCTTTTTGACATTTTTCCTCTAGTTTTTCATGTACTGTTTTAGATCCCTACCAAACTGGTACTGTTTTGCTTGTAGAAAAGCTGTCAGTGACTCTTAATATATATTGGAACTGTGGGCTGGAATATACCTCCATGTAAGTATATAAGATGGGAACCTTAGTCTTTACCACAATCACACAGCTTAGTGTATGCCGAATGCACAGATGTGCCACATGAATTTCCAGAATTGGGTGGCAGTTTACCTCAGAGTCTGAGCCACTGCATAGCTCCCACAAAGTGTGTCGCCCAGTGATATCTTAATCTGCATTCTAAAATGCTTGATACAAGCCTTCAGGTTCACAGAAATCTTTCTCAGTCTTTGATGTTCAAATTGGAAAGGCGATGTACATTTGCATTATTCAGCTAATATTTATTGTTGGTCCAACAGTTAGACATTAGCTTAAATACAATATCAAGTTGAACATTATTAGGGCAGTATTCTTTGTGTTTAAAAGGTTGTATCTAGTGTTTTAAACATGGGCTAAATATTTGCCATGTGTCTATTTTTTAAAAAAATTGGAACATAGGTCATTTTGAAATTCAATTGTAGCACAATATGACATCATTTAGAGTACAACATAAAATTTATGCCAGTTTCTAGTAATACAGCACAAATGAAAGACATTTATATGCAAAAAATGGAAGTGAAAATTAGGATAAAAAATATTGATCTTTTTCATGTCTAGCCTGATTTTAGTGGGGGTTATGGCACTAACATAAAGAGTGTTCAGGTGCTGAAAGTTTCTTTGATCTGATGTTGATGTGGGAAGGTACTTGCACTTTTCAAAACAAAATAACTTTCGAATACTTACTGTTTTGAAGTTCATTGTACAGATTCATGGTACGAAATATTCAAAGCTTAAGGATACAGTGCTGGAGATAATATGTCAGGAAGATCCCAGTGGATTTCTAATTTCATTTGGTTTTCCAAGAGAAACTGCAGACGTCTGGCTTGTGTGGAGCTAATTGCATTATGTGCATTGATCAGGCAGGGATTTGGGTGTTTTTGACTATCTCACCCACATTTCTTATGACTAATCCCAGCTAACATAGATTGCCTAGTTGATTGTTAGAATAAAATTGTGTGTTTCATCTTCCTGAATACATAATTTATAGAGCAAAGTTGTTTATGTCAAACTAGAAAATAAATAATATAGGATGCAGACTTAGCCCATCTTCTCTTGTATACCATCTTATCATCTTGCTGTATTTCACCTTGTTAAGACTGAAAATTCCTCCTACCCACAGCAAGATCAGTGAGTTGAAAAAGGGAACAAGGCCATAATCTTTCAGGGTGTGTTTGTGCTACTGAAAGTCAACCTTTCAGTCTTCACAAGTTTAGCACTCATTATAGCTGGCTTCATGGTAAGGAGGTCATCTTATTGTTTGATTACTCAGAAAGATATATTTTCCGCATGCTGAGAAGCAATGTGACAATATACAATCAGAAGACCTCTTGTCCAAGTGGCAGTGGCTGAAATTACATAGTATAAGAGGTTTCTTCATTGAATCAGTGAGGCAGCTCTTCTGTAAATTCCATTGATTAGAATATGCCTACTCTAGTTATGACTTAAATTACAGCTACTACAGGCCCATTTCAAATAGTGGCATTAACTCACCAAATCTTCATTGATTCAGTGGCCCTAGTCTAATGTGACTTACTGCAGTAAACAACAGGAGGTAAGGCATTATGTGTTAAATTTGCCATACAATCAGCTGATATCTGCATATTTTAAACTTGGACATTGCCAGTGATCAGAATTCTGCTTCTGTTTGCATGTGGATCACATAACTTACAGTGTCTAGTGACAAGGTGCCCATGAAGTGTCTCAGTCTCATGCCTGGTCACATACTTTATTTCATACCCGAGGTGTGCCCTAGCAGCTTGACAGTTAGCTGCAGTTAACCATGGCAAGTGTGCAAAGCTTACATGAACATCTGGATTTTGCCATTATATCTTGATCCTTAGAAATGTTGTTTATGGGATGCATTTGATGATGGCCATCAGTGATGGATCATGCAAGTGTTCACCTGTGGAATCAAAGGACTGGTGTTGAGAGTGGAACCTGGAGAAATTCTCTTGTATAATACAAGAAGCAATGTATAATATCCTCAAAATTTTTTTAATGATCCCTGAGATAGTAGTTGTGACAAATAGTTTCTCTGACTGAAAAAAAATGAATCACACAAATATTTCTTCAGGATAAGTCAGAGGGATTTTTCGTTCTCCAGCAGTTTTTGCACTCCAGCATCCATTACCTTAGCCCTCATGACCCCATTGGCCAGGGTTGATGAGAGTCGTAGTCTAACATCATGGAGGCATCATGCATTCTCTGTCACTGTTTATGGGATCATTGACACAGAGCCTTATAAGATATCTTTCATGGTGTCAGTTTGTGTTGTATGCTCTGTTAATGTTAGCACACCCATGGTACATTGCCGTTTCTATCAATCTTTGTGCAAAGACTTTTTGGCAGGGGCAAGAGGGTCAGAACACCTGTATTTGATTCTCTCTAAGAGAATTCTAGGCATGAATGATGTCATCTGGGTCCCAAGAAAGGACTATAGAATTATGTAGTATTTTAGTCCCACTTCTTCCTCAGTAGCAAGACAACATTTGACCAGAAATATTGAAAGAGTAAATAAATTGGAAAATGAGCAATTTGACAGCAATCTTGCCAACTACCAGCAGAAAAACAACAGCTAGCATTGCTTCATTCATACACCATGGCCAAATCTTGTTGCTTAACTTAATAAATCACTCTAGAGTAGCCCCATTGAATCAATGGGGATTTGGTGAGTCAGTTCCTCTGTAAATTCCATTAATTCAAATAACCCTACTCCGACTGTAACTTACTGTGCTAAAGTAAGTCACAGAGTAGGTCTGTTTGAATCAATGGAACCTGTAGAGGAGCTGACCTACCAAATCTCTAATGATTCGGTGGGCCTGCTGTAGTTGATTTACTACACTAAGCAACAGGATTTTGGCCTATGTCTTCTCATAGTTAACTTCTCTACATTTTACCACAGTTAGTCAGCCAGTGCTTGATTTTTGTGTGTTCCCCTGCTTTATATAAAATTACTTGTATAACTATTTTTAAAATGAGGATTGGAATGTATGCTACAAAATGATATATTTTGAGACATTATAGTTAAGTGTGCATGGTGGCCAAGAACTATCAATGACTCTCACATACAAAATTAGTTTATGAAACAGGGGATTATTCCTGAAGTATCAGAGCATTTTAAAAATATGGAATCTATATTATAACATACACAGTCATCCAAACTGTGCCTATCACATTAGAGCACATTTTGATCTTGCAAGCATGAAGCCACTGAACAAGTAACCAGTTTTATTCAAAGCAGTTAGCTACCTGCGTACTTCTGAGTGGTTTTTTGATTGCTGAATTGAATGTTTGCCAACCCAATACAAAGCATTTGTGTTGGGGTTATAACGTAATGTAGGGAAAATACTGCTTTTGTGACATCACTTTGGCATAGCATGCATCAAAACATCAGACTGGGTCTTTAGTTTCTGAAATAGTGAACCTGAACTCTTTGGCTGAGTTCCAGAGATACCTGTATAACATGCAAAACACTACAGGTGCAGTCAGGGAAGATCTGCTGATTTTTCAATTAAATAGTAGTTTTTTGTGCCTATTGAAATGCCACTCCTTGAAGGGCTTCTGTTTTTTGGGAGATGCATCTTTGGGAAGGATGGGTTAGTATTATAGGGTTATGAATGCTGAAAAGTGACCCCTTAGATCCTGACCCATTATTTTATTGGCTATATTCTTCAATTATAGGAATGGCTGTCATAAAACATTGATAATAAGCCTTATTTAAACATACCATGAAGTTGGCATGCTCATGTGCTATGATTGCAACATGTCCACTAGCAATGATAAATTTCTTTTTAAGTGTTCTCCAGCATTTTATAGTTTGAGTTTGGTAAAACAATGCAGTAAGATAACTCAGGCATATCAGTGGATTCTCTCCAATAGATCCAAAGCTGCAGTGTCAACAAGCAATAACAGACTACCTAGAATACACTGTAATTCCATTTTAGTGCTTGTTAAAACATTTATGTAACAAACCATGAATTATGACTGGATTACTGTAATTTTTGCAAGTGCTATTTTGAGCAGTTGATGTGGAATTGGGTGCATGTAGACACACTATGGCAGAGTGTTTGTCATAAACTTGACAATAAACAATCTGAATATAACCTCTGGAGGTCTTCCATTGTTTTGTGCTTAACTTAGTATATATTGGTAGTAACATACCTGTGTCAGACAACAGCTTATACAGCTAGGTGCAGGCTGTCACTTCAAGGAAGATAGTTTAAGTTATTCCTCCAACACATTCAACTTTTTGCTATATGGGGACCATGTGGGTATGTGTGCGCACACCCACATATATCCTAAAAAGCAAAAATTTCTGTGAGTGAATGTGTGTTTGCGTGTCTTGCATATCAGAGTATGGGTGCTTAAAAACATAAGGAACAAGTTAGTGACTGTGTTACTCAATGTAAGCTTCCAAAACACATGCTTTTGCATACAGTGGACCCTTGACTTACAGATGGCTTGACTTACAGACTTTTTGAGTTACAGACTTCTCTGGCCGCAAAATTTAGGTTTGACTTGCAGACTGAGAATTGACTTACAGACCAGAAAAAAACCAAAATGGAACAAAAACGGCCTGTTACGGGATTAATCGGTTTTCAATGCACTGTAGGTCAGTGGAGACTTGACCTACAGACTTTTTGACTTGAGAACCGCCTTCCAATACGGATTAAGTTCTCAAGTCAAGACCCCACTGTACTGCTTATAAAACAGTGCTCTTCGTAATTATGCTTAGTTACAACAGGCTTACTTTGACAATACTCCGGTCTGAATTTATACCATAGGGATCTCTGTTTCATTTTAGCTCCCTTTGTTTTTTAAATAAATATTTTGCTTGTTTTGGTAGCATTTCCCCCACTACCCCCAAAATCTCTGACTGTCCTAATGTGAGCATTTTAGGTGGAAGAGAACAGAAATTAGTATGCTGTCCCTCACAGTTGGGAATCCAGTGAGGTGTAGCGGATGAAGTAACAGACTAGGATTCTGGAGACTAGGGTTCAAATCCCCACTCAGCCATGGAAACTCACTGGGGGCATGGAACTATTCAACCACTTCTTAAATATTTTACTCACCTTGATAGCTCTGTTAAGGTCTTTAAGTCAGATCTGACTTGACTGCACATAACAACAAAAACCTTCATGGTTAACCTTTCAAAGTCAAATTAAGGACTCTTGTTGTTGCTTTTTTCCGTTTTTGATGGCTGGCTTGAGGTTCTAATGTGCTGATCAACCATTTTTTAGTTGCAGTTTTAATTTTGACATTGTATGATCTATGTTATGCTTTCTCCGTTCTTTATGCTTTGTTACTGATACACTTTATATAGGAATTACATAGAACCACTCTGTTCAAATCAGGGGGGGGGGAATTTAGGCCTTCCAGATGTTTTTTTGGTTGCCATACAGTGGAGCAGGTGGGAGTGAGGGGGATTGTCTTGAAACTCGAAGCATTACCCACTCTTGGTTTAAATCGAACACAATGGTGTTGATTCTAAAGTTAGTTAACTTAAGGAAGTTGGTGAAAAGAAAGGTCTCCTTGCCCTCCTGGAAAAATTCTCTATAGGCAACAGGTAGTTCGAAGGCTAAGAACGGAATAGAAAACTAGCCTTCATGAACTTACTGAGGATTCAAATTATTTATTCATAAGCTCTGCTTCTTTTTACTTCCGAACAGTGAGTTTGTAAGATTGTATCCTGTCACTACAGGTCTCAAAATTTGTGTTCTAAACTTAAAGTGATCAATGCACATAAAGGATCAGGATGAAGAAACAAATACAGTGGTGCCTCGCACAACGAGTGCCTCACACAACGATGAATTCACACAACGATGCCTTTTTCTGTTAAATTTGCTGCCTCACACAGCGATGTTTCCTATGGGGGATTTTCACACAACGATCTCCCTTTTCGCTCCTGTAAAAGTGTCTTACAATGTTTGGACGCTGTTTTAAATGATTGCAATGGTTAGTCCACCTCCTGAAACCTATGCAAACTGATTTTGGTGTTGTTCTGA